TAATGGATACCTAACTAGGTATACTATATCCATTAAATCAAGAAACGCAACTTTAGGATATAGTCGATGAACTCTAGGATAGTTGAGGAGAATAGAACAAATCTATAGTAATTTACTTAATAGGTATTAAACAAGTTTTGATAATTGCGAGTTCAAAATAATTCCGTCGCTCATTAGTAATGAAAATTCTCACAAATCTATCGCAGATACTTTACTCTAAAGTAAATCGGACTAAAACCAAAAAAATATTTTTTTTACGAATCTTTGTAGGTATTTATCTATTTTTACCTCTCTGTATGCCGGATATCCCATATTAGTACGTAATTGTTGGAAATATACTTACAAATACGAAAGGTGTACTTATCGTTGACGACTATATTTTAAAACTATTTCTAACGATACACGCTGGTCACTGTCACTGTGATATACCCAGGGGAGTAAATTATCGACTAAAGAATTGTTCCTAGGTACAACTATGACATATTTGACATGACATTTTTGACTTCATTCTGTCATATTAGCAATGAAAATATAAAATTAACCAATGTCAAATTAGCAAAGGAAATATGACATTAATCAATATCAATTCTACTATAAAGTCGAGAATCGACACCTTGATGTTTTGGAAATTGACGCCACTTTTGTATTAAATTCACACTAACTTTAATTTACACTAACATGCCGTCAAACATGATGAGACTTTTAAGATGAATAAGAATATATTGCTTCTGCATTTTTTTTATCCTGTATATCTGAAAATAATTTTAAAATAGATATCGTCAACGAGATACATAACGTTACGCATATCTCGGCATTCTTCATCATTCATTTTAAAGACAAGGAAAATATGTTTCACGAAAAAAATAGGTCAAAAATTAAAAAATATTTTTTTCTGCACCCACATGGATATTAGCTAATCTACGCACAGAATAAAAAACGAAAAAGTAGGCCATTGCGTTCAACTGAACGAATATATTTCATATCCATTCTACCTTATAAGAAAACTGCCTGAAAATGAAATCCGCCAATCACAGTTCATATTTTGGACACCCAACTACTATTATTTTTAATATTTTAAATAAGTGACAATCCTGTCAAACTAATTGGCGCTATATTTTTTAGTTGTTGAGATTAAATGTAATTAAAAACGAGTGATTATTGTGTAGAATCGATAAAAAAATAATAGTTCACAAGATATTTCGTCTATATTTACAAATAAATCATAAATTTTAATTAAACTATCTAAAAGCAGTTTAATTAGCAGTTTTAAATAATATATTGTCATAAGTGTAATTGGCTCAGATATTAGCGTACCTGTCTGGCATGCAAGCGGTAAGCGGTTCGAATCCCGAATAGGTAAAAAATGTTTTTTTTTCCAAAGTTATTTTATTTTATAAATTAGAAAAAGTTATAAATTATTATTCAAATTCTGATTTTATCTTATTAACCTCTAATTTAATTTTTAAAATTTGTAGATTTTCAAGTGGGTCGTAGAAAAAATATACTGTACAACTCGAGTGGATTGTCCATATCGCACTCAGACGATTGAGCACTCTGTCATCGTGCTCAAATTTCGTCTTCGTGCGATATGAGAATCATATCCTCTTCTTGCACAGACTACTATTGTATTCATTTCTAAAAAGCCTTCTTCGTTTATACATTTTTTTTGGATTTCACGATAATAAACTGTTATCCAGTAATTGTGCATTAATAATGGGGCACCTCGTAGGGTTCAATTAAAATATCTAAATTTTTCTTGGTACCTATATATTTTCAGACGCTTTGGCAACACAGTTAAAGTCGTAAATGAACGGGTCATCCATGTTTGTCTGGAGTGTCAACTAAGCAGTCACCGATGCCAAAATAAAGCTTACTGGCATTGTATGCTAATTGGCTACCGAATGTGCTGCTTGGAAGCTTGAAAAATTAAAATTTGTGAGGTTATGTTAAATATTAGAATTTTAAGGTTGCTTATAAGATTGCGACCTAGCAGGAGTGTCACAAATAAAGCATCTGATTCGAACTGAAATTTTTCGAGAACCTATTATGATTCCATTTTGGAGAATTGATAATAATTCTACAGTAAATTTCTCTAAAAATTCAGTTGCAGACGGTGGTTTCGTTTCACCATAAAAAATACCAATGCTCTTTGGGGGTATGTCCATATTTTCCATTGAAAATAATATTGGCCAAATTTCTTTCTTAGAACTATTATGTATGGGCAGTCCGTCAATGTTAAAGTTTAAAAGTACCTCATCAGGAAAATGTTGATTTAATTTAAATATTTCTGTCATTGCATTACCAAGTCCCCCATGCCAATACTGACCATTTCCCATTGGCTCAATGGTAATTTTTCTTGGTGTTTCCAGTAAAATTCTGGGATCGTTTGGTATGTTTTCTATATTCATTTTATGTAACACTCCCAATAAAGCTTTCAGTGCAGTATGTGGTATGTTAAAATTCAGAGCCCATTGCCGCAAAAGCTGAACGTTACTTTCCACTATATTATCATTATTCTCAGAATTGTCACTGTCCTCATAATCAATAAATTCAAAATTGACTTCATCTATAATTTGATTATCGATTTCCTTAGTAGATATTTGACGAGTATTATCCTGGCGAGACGAAGAAGGAAGCTGGACCATATTGAAACCCAATTTCTTATTATTTGGATGCACACTTTGTTTACTTTTATTTAGGCGCCTATTATATGCACCGGTCCGTCCAAATTTTCTGAATTTTGATATTTTACCAAATAGCACAGTATTTTTTTCCATGACGCTGTTTAGTCCACAAAAAGGATTTGAGGTTAGCAATATTTGGTGATTTTTTTTTTGATTTTATTGCCATTTAAAATCCAGATTAATGCCAATATATGACTTCAAAGCATAGTTGTTAGCAAGCAGTAAATGAGGCATTAATGTATGCAATAATTCTAATTTAAATGCCAACTAGCCGCGCTTTTATTTGGCATTTAGAAAAGCAATTAATTCTACTTTTTGATGAGTGTCTGTGGCCTGTTGGCAATAAATGCCAATTCGCTCTTATATTTAGTAGTCAAAGCGATTTGACTGCTTCAAACGAATTCTCAAATAAAGCCTTAATCAAATGCTAAAAACGGGCTAATCTTTGGCCTTTTTTTCGCATTTAATGCTTGTGCCAGCATTATTTGCTAGTAGTAGAGTTTTATGTTACTTGGGTAGTAAATAGGTAACAACATTGACGTACACATATACTTTTTTATGTAAAAGTTCAATTCATTACCTTTAATCCTGTGTAAAAAAGTAAAAATAGGAAATTAAATACTAGGTGGTTCTCTTAGGTTAATTAGAGTTATGACACTGCGCAAGTCGAGTAAAAATTACCCTACTCAACACGGTGGGTTAAATTTCTTCATCCCGACGCGTTTTTCTATTAAATAGGAACGACTAGGGTAATTCGTCCAGATAAAACGCTCCACATTTAGGAACGCTTTTTAGAGTTTAGACAATATCCGGATGCATTTACCCTACATTTTAGAACGCAGCCCTGTTGACATATTGAACCGAAATATTAACAAACGTAAATAAAGGTTGATCGATCATTTGGTCTGCTTTGTTAAATTACTGTCATTTTACATGCAGATAAATGCTTTTTTACTGGAGATTTACTGTAGGAACTGCAATTGGTTTCAAATTTCGGCCAGTTTTAGGAAATTAGTTAACCTCTGTCGCAAAGGTATTTCAAAGCCATCCTTTGTAAGATGTACCGAACAAATATATGCAAAAACGTATAGGAATCAAATCAAATTAAATAAAAACATACAAATGAAGTGAATATAATACCTATCAAGGATTTAAAAAGTCCTGCCGATATATGGTAATATTAAACTTTAAGATAAACTTTTAAAAAAGGAGCCATAATTTATTGTACATTACCATCTAAGAAAATTGTGTTTTCATATTACATTTTGAAATTAACCAATCCAAAACAACATAAAATTGAAAGTGATCCATTTGCAAGACATATTATATTTACATGTGAGACTATGAATGATGGATTATATATAAATATTTGAGAAATCTGCGCAATTTATGTCGAACACACTAAAAATATCATTAAAAAAACGCTTGCGACTACTATTTCGGAAAAAATGCCGTCCAAAATGGGAGGTTATGTCGCGACCCCCTTAGATATACCAGCCTTGATTTGAACTTAGTTTATGACAGCTTCTAACTGACAACTCTAATGGCGGTTTTCCACTAAACGGACAAAACAAAAACAAAACAAACTCGTGTCGAGAAAAACAAAACTGCAACTTTTCGCAAACTTTTTGAAGACTGGCGTGTTTTGCGACAGTTAGAGTTTTGTTTCTCGAGTCCCGCTCCGAAGGGGTAACATCAAAAGGTTTTGACGTGTTTTGAAACTCGAGTCTGTTTACTGGAAACGGTCGTAATGTGTAGTCTAAATTTTGAACCAACTTGGTACTTATAAGTAAGTAAATATCGTATTTTTTTATAGATAAGTAATTAGTAATAAGTAATTTATTTTTAAGCGCTGGATAAATTTACTAGCAGAATATATATCTGAGTGTCAGAGTTATACTAGGTTAAGTCCAAATCTTGTCTGTTTTTATGATGTCACATATATCTTTTAAACTACTTTTATATGTATTTTCTATTTGGACCTATCTTAAAAAATAGGTAGGTATATAAATATAAACAAAATATTGAAAAAAAAAATGTATTCCGACTTCCTCGCAACAACCAGTGGAAAAGGACCGAAAATAAAAACAAAACTGTGACAAAATGTAGTCCGCTAGATGGAAACAAGAGTTTTGGGTTTGTCTCAGTTTTGTTTTTGTTTTCCAAGTTATAGAAAACACAAACTCAACTGTCCGTTTGGTGGAAAACCGTCTTAAAATTAACTAACAGAGTGATCACTCACATCAGTAATACGGATGTTTAATAGAGATTTTACCATTCCATAAACATTCTTGCTTCAACTATTAATAAACTTACTTTTAAAGGTCCAGACTGCCGCCTCTCTCTATGTGTGTTTAATTTCATTTTCGTAAGCATGTTATCTGTGGATAACTGCTGTCTTATTAAATTTCTCTGTTCTTTAAGAACCATTTTTCTTTCCATAGACGCTGCCTTTTGAAATTGTTTGAGCCTTAAAAAAATAATATTTAGTTATCGTTAAATAAAAGACAGTTAACATTATTCAGAAAAAAAAATTGACATTCATCTATTACTAACTGCGAGGTTTACGCCCACATGCAAATCTCGTTTAAATGACTAGTGGTTATTGTCTATGTACCTCATACGGATTAGATAATCGAGTTTAGTAGTCTGACAACACTGGATTTTTATAAATTTCACAAAAAAGGGAGGAAGAAAACTTCAGATTTGAGAAGAAGAAATGTATGTCAAAGGATAAGAGGCTGTTGAAGATAGAAGCCCTATTTTTTAAATGTACCAAAACCATAAACACCATAAAATGCATACTGAATCTTACTCAGGGTGAAGAAGAATGTCAAATGCATTTAAAAAAATTATTTGATATACCCATGTGAATACTTTCCTTATACTGTGCATGTTCAAAACGAGATATTACATATTTTGAGTATTTCAAAGTGAACAAAATCACATAAATATTATATCTAATGCTTACTTATTTTTACCTTTTTAGCATTTCTGGATTTGCCATCTAACTACAGAATTATGCTATAACGTTAGAATATAAAAAACCTCTTAAAAATGACAAAGTTGCTCATCGTATAAAAATATTCACTTCTCTTGTAATTTTGTTTAAAATCTTTGTCATCTTCCAAGAAAAGCTTGTATTCTATTTCCGTTTTTTAATAAAATTAAAATAAAATAAATAAAAGAAACAAATATTAAATTCCAAATATACTGACAAAACTTTAACATCTTTTTGACGTTAGAAAATCTCGATTAAATAATTTAATCCTCCGATATTGACGGATTAGAATCAAATCGGATTAAGAATGATTTTTTATTATGGTGCATAGCTAAAAATGGTACTAAACGCGATTAAACCCTTAATCTGGATTGTACGGTGCATACGGGCATTAATCGCGGTTTGACACACGCGAAAAAAAATCAGTCGATTCTGAATAATAGAATTTGGATGGGACTCAACCAATGGGTACTTAAATACAAAGTTAATTCGATACTTTTTTTCAACTGTGTATAGAAAAGTCATTAAAAATAAACAACCTTGTTAAATAACTTTTTCGAAAAAATCAAAAATAAGAAACTTACAATTATTTATTCCAAAATGTATTCCATACGGTTCTGTCCAATTTATATGTGTAGAACTTTCATCAATAAAATTAAATGTTTTTCACATTCAGATAAATAAACTATTGAAATCTGACGAAAATCGCAAAAAAAGGATAAAAACGTCATCTCATATTTTAACGCTCAGATTTAGTCCAGGCTCGGATTAAGATTTTATAATTTTTTATCTTTCTTATTTTTGTTTGTTATCTGAAAAAGATGTTTAATTTAATGACTTCTATATACAGTTAAAAAGTATCAACTTAGGATTCACCCTGTATATTCAAGAGAATTAATTACTACGGAACTTTTAAACAGTACCGTACTCGTAATATTAGACTGTAAAATAGAAGAAAACGAAGGAAACATATTTTCGCGGAAATAAAAAACATTTAATTACTATTGAAACAAAATATTAAAATGAATACAGTGTCCTCTGTGGAGAAGGCTGATGAAGTCGAATCAAACATGTCTATGTTCAGCTGTAGCCGCAGAAGAAGGTATTTTTTGAACATATTATTGTCAGTATCTTTCGACCAATTGTGACGAACTAAAAAAATGTGGCCTTCAAAAGTGACAAAGGTTAATTTCAGTTTATTTTTTGGTCCTCTGTCCAACAATAGAATTAACATTTTATGTGTTTTATAATAAAAAATATATTAAAATAACTAGAAAATGTATGACTAAAATAAATTGTATTTGAAAATTAGTTTTACCAGGCTTACATAATAACTTTTTTCTACACCCACATGGATATTAGCTATTCTATGTCCAGACTACAAAACTTAAAAGTATGCCATTGCGTTCAAGTGACCGAATATATTTCATATCCATTCTACCTAGTAAGAACAATGCAAAACAAATAAATCCACTAATCACAGTACATATTTTGGTCACCCGGCTACTATTATTTTTTAAAATTTGAAATAAGAGACAATTCTATCAAACTAATTGTCAGTATATTTTTTAGTTATTGAGATTAAATATACATTCAAATGAGTTATTCTTGTGTAGAATCGATAAATAATAGCATTTCATCTATATTTACAAATAAATCATAAATTTTAATAAAACTATATGAGGCCCCGGGTTCATTTCTAGGATTGGAGACTAATTAAATAAAATATATATTTTTCAAGTTTATTTTTTATGTAAATTAGTAAGTCAAATTATTTTAAAATTATTTATTTTATCTTAATAACCTAAAATCATTTTTAATTTTTTTTAATTTTCGTTAGTGGGTCGTAGAAAAAATATACCGTAGAACTCGAGTAGCACTGCGTCCACGGCGCCGTACTCAAACTTCGTCTTCGTGCTATTGCACATCATAACCATTCTTGTTGGACAAACTACTATTATCACCTAACTTCTACACTGTGTGTGTACAATGATAGTAATTAATATTTTTACCTATTTTCTAGAAACTGATACATCCAAACACAATTTACTTTTGTTAGAACTATCATCCATTGAAAAAACATTTGTTTCACCAACGTATACGAACTACATTATTAAATGTTATTCTTTAATAACGATTTGTTTTGAATTTTGTCGAATTTTATCAAAGATTATTTTCACACACAATAACCTGTCTACCTGCTGTTCTCTTTCATGTTACATAAATGGTTTAAAAACAATAATATTTAGACAAATCACCTATTGTTGTATTTTTAATTTTATTTACACTCGCACATACAAGGATAAGGATCTTCACTTAATATTAAATGATACTGTGATAAGATTTATCTCTTTTTTTAATTCAAGTATATAAGCATGAAAAGGCAATAATTATTATTAGTTAGCGAACTTATGGTACAAGGTAGTTTGAAATAAACTATCATAATAACGAAAATAGTAGTTTGTGCAACAAGAGTGGATATGGACAATCCACTCGAGTTGTGCAGTATATTTTTTCTACGACTCACTAACGAAAATCCACAAATTTTAAAAATTATTTTATGTTATTAAGATAAAATAACTAATTTTAAAATAATTTATGACTTTTACTAATTTATAAAATAAAATAAATACAAGCTCAGTCGGCTTCAGGGATTAAAATTCACGCGTGAGGGGGCGAATTAGGGAGATAATTATTATTATAATTTATTCTTTTAAAATTCGGCAGGTTAAATATTATAGAAAAAAAATAGTTACCTTTGCATCTCGTGTTTTTCTTTTTGATGATTAACTAAAATGCCTCTTTGCTTTTTCTTTATAACAGATGCTTCGTGCAACTGCCCCGTCTCTTTAAAATGTTTTCTTTGAATTTCTAACCAGGCCAATTCCCCTTTAATTCGATCTAATAGAGCCTGCTCTCTGATTTTAAGAATAGTTTTTAAATTTTCCAAGCGAACGTCTTCGTCTTTCATCAGCTGTTCAAACTAAAAATAAAATTTATTGTTAATTTTATTGATACATTTAATTATCAAATTCATTATATTAATGGTAAAATGTCTCCCTATGGATTAAAAGGAATAGATCCCACATACGTTCCGTCAGAAAAAGCGATTAAAACGAGTAGAGACATCTTTGGCTACTTCATCAACTACTTTAGAAAGGTCTTTGTTTGCTACAACGAATATTTAACTGAATTAAGAAAATTGTTTTAAAATATTTAGTATTAATTTTGTCAACAGATTTGGTACATTTCTAGGTCAAGCTAAAGTTTGGTAACGATAGCTTGTAAACTAACGTCATTGTCAATGTAAATGTGTGTAGAAGTTCGCGGTCGAAGATGGAAAGTGGAACAATTTAGAGACGGGAAATATATTTTTTTAGGATATTATGATGATTTAATATTTTAATTCTAAAACTTATGTTATCAATTATGAATAGTTTTAAAACGACTATTCGAGGGGTAAACCACGGGCCAACATTTATAAACATAATTTCTTTCTATCAATTTTTTTACTATTGTTGAAGAAACCTTCAACATATTTGAATTAAAACACAAAACCTAGGCCGCCTCTGGCACTTATAGTCATAACTTGAAGAAGTTACGTCATTTTCGTCACAAAGACAAATTGCCGATAAAAGCTATCACCTGAATGTATCCTTACAGACGATTGGTTAGAAAGCCAAGCGACGCAAAGATGCATCTGAGCGTGGCTCCGCGGCAATATTCAGAATCTAATTCTCATTCAAACAAGCAACATGTAATTAATTTACTATTTACCTGCTTTTCTTAAATAGGCGTCAGGTCGCCATGTTTAACTTTATTATACAAATTTAAAATTACAGACTGACATTGCTGTGGTTAATTTTCTTGAGTAACAGTGCTTTACTAAGATTGTAAATATAGTTTAGTATTGTGATGTAAAAGTCTTAATATATATTTACAAGATTAAATGGAGTTCAAGTGTTACCGGCATTTTATTTCATCATAACGTAATAAAACCAGTGCTGTCTCTTCGCAGTTTGCTATAGTTGGAGGAATGTGTTAAAAAATGTAAGGGGAAAGCAGCTATTTCCTCCAACTATTATCAAGGCGCATTGCCACTTTTTACCTTTTTAAGAGATAGTTCCAAGGGGCTATATAACAAAACAAATCGTTAAAAAATATATCAACAAAATATTTCACAAAAATCATTAGATTTATAACTCAATAAATAAATTAAAAATTATTTTATGATGAGCAAAGAAAAAAAATAGTAATTTTCAGATAAACGAATTGTACAAAACCATTTAGATGTCCCATAGTCCAGTAAAATTTCCTGAAAAATTTAGTAAAGAAAAAATTAAGGAATTTTAACACCTTGTATCTCGTAAGCAAGACACATTTTTTTTAATCCATGTCCAATAACTTATTAGTTTAAGAAAATTCCATAATATAATGAATGGTAAATATTTTCGTGACTACATATAAAGGTTGTGAGGTAATTTTAAAAACAGAATAAAATGGAAAACTGCTTCAATGACTTACCATATTGATAGATATGCCAGCTAAATTACCGGAATTCAAATTCTCAAAATTGGATAGATGATCATCAGTTTTTACAGATAAGCTTTGATTAATAGATGTAGCTATTTCTAAGTCAGTATAACCAGCACTATTATCTTCCACATCCAGCGCAGTATTAGATAATAGATTCAAATCATCCAAGGAATTATTTATATAAGAACCTCTAGAATAGTTTATCTTTGAATTTTCACTATGTGTAGCTTTTGATTGAATAACATTTTCGGGCATACTTGAAGAAGTTTTGGATCTGGCGGTCAAAGATGTCTGTGCGTCGTTGTTTTTCAAAATCTTTGAATTAGTTATGTTATTTTTCGTTTTTAAATTTTCTAGAACCTAAAAATAAAATGATTCATTAGGTTCAATTAATGTACTAGAGAATAAACTAGGCCCAAAAAATCAGAATTTAATATTCACATTCAAACAGCACCTGAAATTTATATTTAAATAAAGAAATAAAAAAAGGATCTACTTTTTCTAACATTCCGGTATCACAATCAAATTCTTTATCATTTGCAAAATGATTTATTTTGGCGTGTGTAACTTAATTGTAGAAATTACACAAGTTCTGAAACTATTGAAATATTAATTAATGGAATAATCTGGTCATCGAGAACTTACACTGTGCTTAACCTAGAAGTGTCTGTTATAAAAATGTTTGGTACTTACTTGTTCTAGCTCAGAAAATCTTCTTAGAGATTGATTGAAATCGTTTAAAAGATGAATTTCAGCCTCAAATTTTAAATGTATTTGATTACCATCATTCTTAAAACAAAAATAAAATGTTAACTAATCAAAAAGATTAACAATATCTGTATATATACAGGGCGTTCCTTAATATCATATCAATATAGGAGGTTATTCATTGGGCTTTTTTATGAATAAAATTTAATATAAACATGTGATGTAAATTGCTTAGTTTTTAAGATTTAAATGTTAAAAAAAAACGACTTTTCATAAATATCTCATAAACTTATTAGATTTGTTTGTAGTATGTCCAGTCACCCCACTAGTCATTGAAAAATAAGCTTAAAATTTCATAAGCTTGACTTATTTGATGACCTTGCTTAATAGCTTTACTAAAATTATTGTAATGCAAAGTTAAATTAATAAGTTGTTCTGAATTTAAGAACAAAGGTGCTATGTAATTAAAACAACCTTCAAAATTTGAAGTTCTATGCACTAGGGTTGTAAAGTGTTGGTTCTTAAATTTAGATTGTATACAGTTGATCTTCTTAATAAGATGTTATGTAAATATGGCGGAATTTTATGCATTAAAATTTTATACAAAAAAATCTAAATACAAATATTTTACTCTTTCCAGAATTTTAAATTCATTTAACCTGAGATCCATGAATTAACATGATTTCTATAAGGAATATTACAAGTAAATATCATTCTCATACACTTTCGAGTTTCTCTTGGTAATATTTATTAAAGAAGTAATAGTAAACTACAACACTAAACAATGTGAGGATATATAAGAGCTTTAATAAGTTTTAATTTAATGTTTTCACTCAAGAGAAACTTCAAGTGATAAATTTAAGTATAAAACGCTTACTACCTGATTGACATATTCATTAAAATTCAAATTCCCATTCATAACAAGTCCCAAAGCATTAAAAATTAAACTTTCGAAAAAAAAAAATTAAAATCATTTTATTGCATGTCCCTGCAGACCACTTACAAATTATAAAACATTTATAATCCAGTCACATTAGACCCAAATAAATCAAAATTGGGGAATTTGGAGTACCGAACTAAATTTTTATACGGATCTTTATTTTGCAAAAAAAATAACTAAAGCATTTTGAGATTAAAGGTAACGCTTTTTAGTATTTTGAGAATAGCTCGTTTACTAAGCATCTTATGCAATTAAAAGCTGATAAAAAGTTGTAGCTAATAAAATTATCTACAAATTGTGTGACGCGTCTTCTAGTTTCATGAGTAGCGAAGTGGAATTAGTGGGTTGTGCCAGGCCATTAATTAGAATAACCCTCGAGTACACTCAAATTAGTCCCAGATGAGTCAATTCAATTCCAGGAGGTCACGTGCAAAAATGGGGTAGTAATTGAAAGAACCTTATCACCGGTAATACCTACCTTACTCAACCTAAAGGGTGTAATCACCTTCTGCCTTTTACCCTAAAGCTAATTCTGGAAGAACTAGATAAGGTGTGGGGTATAGTTAAGAGAAACATAGCAATTTTATATTTAAAACGGTAACCACGGTGGAGCAAAACGAAACCCAAATAATTTTTTGTCTTAAATTACAATCAGTTCTACAAAAATAAATATAAATCAATAAAGACGGATGTTCCTAATAAGCGGTGGGAAGCTCTAAGCTAATTAGTAGTATAATTAATCCAATGAAAATGTTTAAAAAATAAAAATAAGAAAATAAATATAAATCAATAAATAAATATCAATCAATAATACGCAGTGATGTAAAATTACCGTAATTTATATTTGTGGTAATTTACGGGTTTTAATTACCAAAATTAATTACCCTGGTAATAAATTTGTGTCGTAAATTACGTGGTAATTTACCGTAATATATTTTATGCACATATATGACTTCGAAATGAAATTAAGGTGTGTAAGTATCTGTGTCGAACATTGAATTGTTTCATTTGTTTGTGAATAAAACTAATTATTTATTACTAAATATAATTTAAATTTAGGTTTAAATAATACAAAACGCGAAAATAAACAAAACATCAAATGAAATTTTATTGTTTGTGCAGGTGCTTAATCTAAAAAAAACTTCCTCGTACTTTGTACAAGAAAAATGTATTTTAATTTTATAAGATTATGTTTTATTAATTATATTATTCATATGTTACGTTGGCATTTCACAATGAGCTGGACTAAACGAGATCTCTAAATCAACTATTTTATCTAGTTTAGTTTCGCTATCTACTTCAGACCAGTCGGATTCATATTCAGATTCAGACTCCAAAGAAGATTGTAATGAACCGTATGAACATGCCGCTATATTTAAATTTTGTCTGATATATACAATTTTTTTTGCCCTTTCATGTGTTTTCTTTCTTTTATTTGTATGGACATTTCCATACGTTGATAAGCTTCGTTCTGTGGCAGCAGTTGACGGTGGACAGTTTAATACTTCTAGAGCTACATTGCTTAACTTTATTGTTGAACAAATTGATTTCCACCAAGTCACTGCTGACAGTTTTCCATTTTTTAGACTGGTTCATACAAAGTCTTTAGCAAATAAGGCTTTTTTTTAGATCTATAAATGGCAATACTGTTCTACAAGTAAATTCCAGCTAGCTGTCATGTTTTTTTCATTGTTGTAATTGACATAATTTTTTCTAAGCTTATTTCATCAATTACTTATAATATTATAATGTTGCACATGAAAGTTGCTTCATGACGAGCTGCTTTCGTATCTACTATTTTATATAAGACAGGCTCAGGTGTGGTAAGAATAGGATTATCATATTACAAAATACAATTTCCTGACATTTCTAATGAATATTCCGGACAAATTTTTAAAAATCCGGACAAATGAATAAAACTTCAACTTGAAATAATTACTATGTTTTATTTAAAAAAGTACCTACATACCATCAAAAACTAAGAACAAACAGTTCGTTTTGCGAAATTTGATAAATTACAAGAAAATGCCGTATATAATGGCAAATAACGGTAAATAATGTAAATTTTTTACCACAAAAATCGGTAATTTACTATGTAAATTACGAATAAATTACGAGTAAATTACTGTAATTTATTTTTGGTTAATTACGGTAAATTACCACGGTAATGCCTTGAGGGAAGTTTTAATGAAGAGCAGTTACCCAGTGATTATTTTCACCGAAGGTCGACGTCGCTTTCGCGAAATTTGGCAAATTACAAGAAAATGCCGTATATAATGGCAAATAACGGTAAATAATGTAATTTTTTTTACCAGAAAAATCGGTAATTTACTTTGTAAATTACGAGTAAATTACTGTAATTTATTTTTGGTTAATTACGGTAAATTACCACGGTAATTTATCGGTAATTTACCAGTTCACATCTCTGATAATACGGTTATACCCAGGGTATTTCCAACCAGCAGTGTAATTAACCTAATGAAAATTATTACAAAATTAAAACTTTGTAGAAGTAAATAAAAATAAAAAGAAATAAATCACCAAAACAAATATACCCACAGTATTTTTAGTCAGCGGTGAAACCTCCAGGTTAATTAGCAGGATAATTAACCTTTGCTATCATATCTATTTAAATGTGTTCCTCCTTATTTACCTATTTAAACTTGTGTTTTATAAGCCTTAACCATATAAGTATTTTTTATTTTTACTTCATTTTGATTATTTATTTCTGTCTGACTTGCAAATATGTTTTCTTTTTTAACCGACTTCAAAAAAGGAGGAGGTTCTCAATTCGTCGCGATATTTTTATGGTTTTAGGTCTTATTTTATTTTACTATTTTTTTTTTATTAAACCTGCGAATTTTCCTATTATTATAATCTTCACACGCCAGTAAAAAGTATTGAGTATTATAGGTTTACTTTCGAGAAATAAATTTTTTTAATAGTCATCCAAATTTAAAAATGTACCAAAATCCTTCTTATCAAATTTTAAACAACTTTTAAAAATGTCGCGTCTATTCGTCCGATGTCATGTCAAAAACGAAAAACGATATCAACTCGAAATTTTCAGGATAAATCAAGCTCTATAAGAGGACGAACCCCATGAATAAAAATGGGAGTTAAGAAGAGTTGAAATTTAAAAAAAAATCATAAATCAACAACGAAAAGCGATATCAACCAGAAATTTTTAGTAAAACTCAAGCTCTATGTGAGGATGAAGACTATTGTTTCTAAAAAAAAATAAATTAAAAAAAGTAATATCAACATGACATGTTTAGTAAAAATCCAGCTCTTTATGGGAATGAAGCCTATTAACTCAAAAAAAAAAAAAAAAAACTAAATAGAACCCCTGATTTCTGTTCAGATTTTTAAGGGAGTTAAAATATTAAAACAATCCTTACTTAGAAACAAAAAAAGATATCAACTTGAAAATATCAGGAAAAATCAAGCTCTATCGATTCTGAAAACAATATGTTTAAAAATAGGGGGTTGAGAGGGGTCTGTTAAACGTGAAGAGTGTAATACAGAATGCCAATTCATATCTTCATTCTAGTTTATTTTAAGTTTTTAACAAAATCATTATTTTTTGATTTTTTTTATTGTTTCTTTAAACTACATAATAAAATATACATACATTATTTATGTACATTCTTTTAACTCAGAGGGCCTCGAAAACTATCTTGCACCGATGCCCCCTGTGTCAAGTTATGCTACTGGCTTCGTGGAAATAGATAAAAAAAAGAAAGCTTAGTTCCGATATTTTAAATAATTTTCGAAACACCCTGTATACGTTTAAATAAAGCTTTGTGACGATAAATAGAACAAATCAATGATACGGTCATTGATTCCTAATAAAAGTTAATCAACAATATAATTAACAAAACGGAAATATTCAAAATTAAATTAGTAGGTTGAATACAATTGTCATTCCAAAATAATCTATTTATTTAAATCGGCATTAGTATCGAAAAGCAATATTTTCTAGCGATAAATTCAGAAGAAAAAAGTGACAGATTTACTTTATTTTCACAGCCTACTAATTAAAAGGTTTTAAAACTTGAAAAATACTGTGAATTATTAGATTTTTTTAAATAAAAAGAAATCTTTACGGCCTTCTAAGTTTTATAATAACTGCGATATG